GCTGTTGTGCAAACAACACTTGACCCTCAATCAGACCCTATAAGAAAGGGTGCTCGTGGCAGAGGGTGGCGAGAGTTCCGGGGGAAGATGCACTAGACAGGCAAAGGGAAATGGCTCATAAGAGTTGAGAAAAAGGATTTTGCAACATTTTACAAGTGTCACAGGGGTTGTGGGCTTACCTCCGCCAAGCCTACGTATGGAGGGAATGGAAACGGAGCAGATCCTGGCTATGGAAGTCTCTCCCCCTTAATACTGGGACGAACATTTCTCTCCTAAATCCCTACATGCTCATCTTCTTTCTGACCCTTGCTCTACACAGGACACGTCAGAGGACGGTAAAACCATCTCAACCAACACAGAACATGTTGTCATTTGAACCCTTTGTTTAACCAAGTCACGTGAGTGAAATTCATAAGGACCACTTCACTCACTCAGGAGCAGAAATACCAGAAACACTTCCCAAGGCACCTCCACAATCCCACCAAAAGACAAGTTATGTTGACGTCTGATGACCGGACCTTGTCTTCAGGCGGCGCTCCTTCATTATTCCAAGGATGCAGCATCTCCACCGTGCCCGGTATGGCGGTGAAGCCTTTGGCGCCCTCTCCACAATGGCACATCAGCAATAAGAGTGGCACAACTGTACAGACACGGAATTGTGTACAGAGAAGGTTAATCCCGACATATTTCTAAATTGATTCTGCCTAAGCCTGAATTTGCATAGAGCTCCCTGGAGTTGTCTTCAATTATTTACAGCCCTATTTTTCTTTTTTTTTTTTTTAAAGAACAGAAATTTATTCTTTCATAGATTCTGAAGGCCAGAGGCCCTAAACTAAAGTGTCATCAGGGTTGGAGCTTTCTGGAATCTCTGAGGCAGAATCTGTTCCATACCTCTCTCCTGGTTTCAGGTGGTCACCAGCATTGTAGATGGCTTGTAGACGGCTCATTCCAATCTCTGCCTCTGTGGCTACATGCTGTTCTCCTCAGTGTGTCTCTTTGTGTCTCTGCCTGACCTTCTTGTAAGGACAATAATCACATTCTAGGGTTCTGGGGACATGAATTTTGGAGGGATGCCATTCAACCCAGTATACCTCTATTTTTCTTTTTTTGAAACATGGTCTTGCTTTGTTGCCCAGGCTAGAGTAAAATGGAATCATCAGAGTTCACACAATTTCAAAGTCCTGGGCTTAAGTGATCCTCCTGAGTACTGGGGACTAGAGGCACACGCAGACACATCCACTTAACTTTGTTTATTTTTTGTAGAGACAAGGGTCTCCCTATGTTGCTCAGGCTGGTCTTCAACACCTGACTTCAAAGCAATCCTCCTGCCTCAGCCTCCCCAAATGCTAAGATTATAGGCACGAGCCACACTGTACCTTCATCCTAATACAACTTTACCGAGTTCGTTTTGGGTGAGTTACACTAAACCCCGAAGGCAGGATGAGGAAGTCATGTAGATTTCGTATCACAAAGAGACTACCTAAAGTAAAATACCAAAAATAAGAAAATAAAAAAAGAATACCTAGACTGGATTAGATAGTATCCAAAATACCAGTACCAATTACTTTTTTAAAAAAACTACTGTCCATGTTTTTAAAAAATTGTCCACAAAATAAATGTAATATTAAAAAAGATCAAAAGCTTCTGTGAATCTTAATATATTCAAATTTCTAGAATACTGAAGCTGCTCCCATACTTCACCCCAGAGTAAAATTTGGGAGCTCTCTCTCTTTCTCTCTCTCTCTCAGAGAGAGAGAGTCCTAGTTAACTTTTGAATAAACTAAGTATTTTCTAGGTGGTGACCATAGCTTAGTCAGCAGGGCGCCAGCCACATACACAGAGGATGGTGGGTTCAAACCTGGCTCGGGCCTGCTAAACAATAATGACAACTGCAACCAAAAAATAACCAGATGTTGTGGCAGGTACCTGTAATCCCAGCTACTGGGAGCCTGAGGCAAGAGAATCCCTTAAGCCCAAGAGTTGGGAGGTTGCTGTGAGCTGTGACGCCACAGCACTCTACCCAGGGTGACAGCTTGAGACTCTGTCTCAAAAAAAAAGAAAGAAAATAAATAAATCACATCTGCACTCCTATCTGTCACTTCCACTTGGCAGCTTCCAGTGATGAATTGATCATCACCTAGATACTTTTTTGTGTAATAGCTGACAGCACAGTAACTAAACTACTGTGATCAATACAATGACTGAAATCAGCTGATAGCAATTCAAAAATTCCAACAGATTCAACGAATATCAATGAAGTATCTATTATGTGTCAAGTGCCACATTAGGCTCCAGGAAAGCTGAGATGGGAAGGCAGGGGAAGGAATCCCTGGGTAAAGGCACCGTCCCAGCTTCAGGACTACCTACAAACTTGAAAAGCTAGGAGGAGTCACTGACCATTACGTCTGTACCTCTACCCACACAATGGAGATAAGGGAAGAGGACACAGTGAATTGTTAAGTGCAGTGTATTCAACTGACTATCTAATAACAGCCCTCATAGGTCTTCTGCCCAAGTTCAGAAGTCAAGTGCGGTAGTATTCCTGTGATCACAGGTTGCAGTCCCTTGTTCTCTCATGAAAGGAAACCTGAGTCTTTGGAGGTCAGGCAAGACTGGTTGAGAGAACATAAATGTGCTCAGAGGGTCTGATGACTGCTGGGTACCAGGGCAGCGGCTCTGACAATTTGAATGTGCAAAGCAAGGAAGGACTGATTGGAATAAGCTGGGTTTGTAAAATAAACTTGCATTCCTGATCCAAATTTGTGTGACAATCTTTCCGGAGAGCCTGCCGTGTGCAAAGCTCCGTTCTGGGTACCAGAACAGTGGTAAAGAGAATAGACAATATGCCCCCGTCACAGAGCACATCCAAAGGGGGATCCAACAAGGTTGATGCAAGGGTTGAGTGAAGGGCAAGCCTGACCTCAGTCATTTCAATCAGAAAATGATCCATACTTATCTAGCAAAATTCTGAGAGTCTTACAATAAGTTTTGGTGAATTGGATCAATCATCAATTATTGTGGCCCTAGTGACCCTCAAAAGTGTTCTAGTGTGATTAAGGAATAATTGTGAAGAAACCAATGGCTATTACAGTAATCAATCACTAGTTGCACACTCAAATTACTAAAAGCTAAAGAATAACTTTGAAAAGACTTACGTAGCAAGAGCAGAAGGGCCAAAATCATGAGTGCAATCGCTGCAGGTCCCAGGCCCACGTAGGAGTTGTGCAATGCTTCCACGCAGCCGCTGCCGTCCAGACACTCACACACCGTGAGTGTGAGGACCTGCTTTTCAGGGCAACTGAAGCCCTGATTATCTGAAATCAGGAACTGAATTTCACTTTTCCCAAGCTTTCGCTGGCTTTGCTGCAGCAGCACACTGGTACCTGTAATGGAGAAGGAAGTAACAATTTGAGTGACATGGGGGCTCACACCTGTAATCCTAACACTCAGGGAGGCTGAGGGGGGCAGATTGCTTGAGCTCAGGAGTTTGTGACCAGCCTGAGCAAGAGCGAGACCCCAGGTGTTGTGGTGGGTGCCTATAGTCCCAGCAGCTCAGGAGGTTGAGGCAAGAGGATTGCTTGAATCTAGGAGTTTGAGGTTGCTGTGAGCTATGATGTCACGGCACTCTACCCAGAGACAGAGTGAGACTGTCTAAAAAAGAAAAAAGATTTGAATGATTATTAAGGAAGTGGCAAAATGAAATTACAGAAATGTCCTTTCACTGTTGATAACATTTAGCTCCAGTTGTAAGACTCATTCTTCCTTCTCATTGATTTCACATATTAAAATTTGTCCACAGAGCCTAGCCCGAATCTGCAGCTTAACTAGTAAAGGCTCAGATTTGGACACCTTACTTTCATGATGAACAGTAACAAATGCGTGTGGCCTACCCAATGTTCTATTTACTGGTAAGACAGGGAGGGACAAGGGGTGAGCTAAATAATGTCATCAGAGGATAGTTTGCCATTTCTTTTTTACCTCTTTTATTCTTTGTGACAGGGTCTCACTCTGTCATCCTGGCTGGACTGCAGTGGTGTCATCACTTATTTCAGAAACATTTAAAAAGGCTGGGTGCAATGGCTCATGCCCGTAATCTTAACATTTTGAGAAACTGAAACTCCTTGAGATCAGGAGTTTGAGAACAGCCTGAGCAAGAGTGAGCCCCATCTCCACTAAAAACACAATAATGAGTCCAGTGTTGTGCGGGCGCCTATAGTCCCAGCCACTCGGAAAGCTGAGGCAGGAGGATCACTTGAACCCAGGAGTCTGAGCTTGCTGCGAGCTAGGCTGATGCCATGGCATTTTAGCCTGGGCCAAAGAAACTCTGTCTCCAAAAACAAAGCAAAACACATTTAAAAACAAATCCTTAGGATTTATTCTCTACAGTTTGGATTCAGTTAAAAGGCCACACTTAGGAACCTAAAGGCCACGTATCTCCCACCTCCGATCCGATCCGGTCCCTTCCTTTTTGTTTCCAACACTATATACACAAAATTTAAAAAAAAAAAAAACCTACAGAAAGAATATTAATAAACTTTTCAATAATTGTTCACAATTTTCAACACACTTTCGTATACACCCACTTTTTAAAAATTTAAAAATTTTATTGGCATTTTAGAGTATAAGGGGTCACAGGGAAATTTTACTTATTAATTCAGAGCACTGAAATACATAAGAAGGAAACCAAACACGCTAAATCTTTAAACGCAGTTGGAAATGTTAAAGGTGTTTAATTTGTAAATAGGATCAGCCATTATTTAAAGCCTCTGAAAAGTATTTGAAATATTTTGGTACAGTTAAAATAACATACTAAATCTGTGCATTAAGAAAAACTTGGGCATTGTATATGAAACTTTTTCTAAAATGAACACTAATTGTTTATTTTATTTTATTTTTTGCAGTTTTTGGCTGGGGCATAAGGGGCTGGTGGCCTACTCCTTGAGCCACAGGCGCCACCCTAATTGTTTAAAACAAAATAGTTTTCTGGATAGACTTTCCTATATTTAAAACCACCCCGGAGGACACCCATAAACTCACTCAACACATCACACAGTCTGTGGTCCTCATGTCCAAGACAGGGACAGAGGGGCAAGTCCACTGGCCCGGAGGGGAAATCCGACAGATAAAGGGTCTTTCTCATGTTCTAGCTTTGGGACTTTGAGCAAGTTACTTACCCCTAGTCAAGCCAAGGTTTCCCCAGCTGTGATCACAGAATAATGTTATGAAGTAAGGACTAAATGCAACAATGTATGGGGAGGGCTGGCAGAGGGCCTGGCACATGGTCAGCACTCAACGTTATTGCAAATGGAACTACTGTTGCCACACTTAAAGATTTTTAGAAGGCACCTGTTATGATTGTTGTGCTTAGAAAGGCCTGGTACTCCTCGCCTTGTGAGATGAAATTACTTCAAGAGCTATTTGGAGAACACTCAGCTACTTTTAGATTTAGGTTACTTTTCTTTTCTCCATAGGCATTATTATAAAAGACACTAACAATACTATAAGAGATATGTGTGTCTATAGGAGCAGATTGTATTGGAAATATAATTTATGAGAAGAAACACGACCTACACTATAAACATGTTAGATATTCTGCTTAATATTTAGATTTTAATGTAGGCCAGTGGTCTTGCTTACTTTCTTGGCGTATGATTTTCCATTTTTCTGCCATTCCGGGGGGTTTGTCAACGACAGAGAAGCGGAAGGGCTCACTGTTTGGGAATCTGTCCAGGTCCTCTGCGGTGACGTTCACATACTGTACGTCATTACAGACAGTCTGCACTGGGTCCACTAGTGTGGGACAGTTGTCATTGGTGTCTTCAACAGAGATTCTGACAGTACCAGTGATGGTTCTTCTTGGATAATCTTAAAAATAAGAAAGAAAATGTATGTGTACTCTGATCCTACGGCTGAAACAAATATCGCTTTGACTCTTTGCTAATTTAGTATGAAAAAGGTACTAACCACTTAGGACACTTTCTATCCTAGAAATGTTTCCTATTTAGACCAAGTAATATCTTTTAATTCACTATAATAACTAGAAATGTGAGGGTTTATCCACTAAAGAGGTTAGGTTTTTCTGACGTGGAAAATAATCTAAATACATATAACCAAGAAAAATATCTATGAAATAACTTACCTTCTGATATAGCCAAAATCTTTACACTGTATGTACCATTTTTGACATATCTGGATTCAAAATCAGGAATTTTTGCAAGTTTAATTTCCGATGTGACTGAATCCACATAGACCCAGTTGTCTATGTCTTCCAATATTGCATATCTGTTATAAAAGAAACGTAAAATTAATTTTGATTTCTGGATAATTGGGAATACCTAACATCCACAACTCTTTGAAATTAGCTTTCTTTCCAATACATGCATTCTTGTTAAAGGCACGTGTTCTGAATGTTTTTAATTTCTTGAAAATTAAAAATATTTATCCTGAAAGGTTTTCTTTTTACTGCATATCTCACTTACTCAGAACTTTCCTTATTCCTGTGAATATACGACATATAATCCAGGGTGATGATTCTCAGCCTACTAAGTCTTGCTTACAGCTTTGATCTAACTCTTAAATTTAGAGTCAGATTTTGGAGAATAAATTACTTATACAACAAAGACTGGTGGAGATACACAGTCTTAAAAGTCCATTGTTTATTAGAAACAAATACTTGTAAATTAGAACATTTATAGATACCAACTTTAAAAAAATCAAAAAATTATAGGATATTATTGTTAGGAGCAAAAACTTTCTTTTAGGTAGAA